GCGTTCTGAACAAAGAGAACCTATTAACTGGAATGTAGCTCATTTCTTCTCTTTTTGTTTTTACGTAGATACATCCAGTGGTGTCCCGTCTGTGTGCTCCAATTCAGGGTACAAGCCCTGAGCGTTTAGCTGATTGTCTAGGTCTGGACTCCTCTAAGGTACGTGAAACCCTCCTTTGCAAACATCAATTAGCAAAATCCATTTCAATTGTATCCCTGACAGAAACTACGTTTCCAGTTCCAAAGCAAATTTAGTGAAGCCACAACCAATGACACTGCTGGTCCCCTCCTGTCAGCCATAGATGATGAAGAAAGGTGACTTTCTTTGGTTCCTTTATCTTCTTTCCATACGAATAAGTCTAGAAAATTAGTTTTTGTTGAAAAATGAAGCATGTGGTAAGAGATGCAGAAACAGTGTTTGTTTTTGCCAATTGTATGCATCCCTTTTCTGTTTCTCCCACTCAGCGTCTATTAGAAATTGTCCCCATTGTTTTTGGTTGCAGCTGTTACTTATCCTGTAGCTTAACTTTGTGCATTCTTGTCTGATCAACTGTGTAATTTTTATCACAGATATCGGGACTGTAAGCCTTTGATCTTGTCATGCCCCAGCTGCTCGAGTACCTTTGATTGCCCAGCCATCTTTACTTCCATTTGTACATCCATTAAAGAACATTCAACCCCTGATCAAGTGGAGCAATCTTCTATTAATTTTTGGCGCACATTGAGTTGTGCTAAATGTCTGGCAGGAGGAGAAGCCAGTAGATTGACTTCTGCGATGATAGCTAATCAGGTACTTTTCCTTTATCACAAAGCTGCTACCATAAGAAAGAGATTTTCTGAATAGGTGTAAGGCCTCTCAGAAGCCCTTTCCTTTTTTAATTTTTAAAGGTAAGATGGCCATGAACTACTCCTGCTCAATTTAGTCATCGATCTCTGGGATGATCCTTCTGAAGTAGAAGGGATAAGCAAAAATAATCTGTTTTTACCATAGGCATACATATCTTTACTTGTTAAATGCAAGTTCTACTGTCAGTCCATGGATGGACAAAACTATCCTTCTTTATCATCCTGGATCACATAATTGTGGAAGTGGTCTCTTACCGTCCATCCGGAAGATTTGAAGTCTATTTGCATAGTCGCTATTACTTTCTAATGCAGTATTAACACTGGACTTCAAATCTATTTGGCTGTTGGTTGTGCAACATATAAAGGGGCATTCTAATTGCCAGAGAAGCCCAGGATAAGAGGTTTAATTCATCTGCTTTGGGAGGAATTGACATGCAATGGCCATATCTCATCTAGTGTTAGAACTGAGAATTTGCTCAAAAAAAGAAAGAGGAGACAAACTACTGCCCGTGCCATGTTATTAGCAGCGCTTCTCTGGTTATACATATTACCCTCTAGCATTGGACATATTGTTTGCCTTGTCACGCTGGTTGTAGATCCATGTTGCTCATAGTAGGGATTATCTACATGGGCCATCTCTAACAGAAGTGTGCTTTTGCCAGGTTAAAAGACAAGCTGATGGTTTCATTTCCCTGTATTACAAGGGCCTGATGATGGTAATATCTTATAACATTTAGTCGAAGAAAATGGATTACTACAACATCAGCTAACATTTCTATTAACATTTGCGGGTGGCTTATAATTCCAGTGTGATGATGAGACTTGCAAGCACTCGACATGCAGTCTGAGCCTACGAGTAATAGGTGACAGCGAGAGAGGAACTGTTTGTCCAGAATATCCTCGCTGCAATGGGCGTCTGATAAGAAAGGTTTATTCATGACTTCTCGCTTCTTCGTTTAATTAAATATCGCAACACAAGCTCAACCTCCTAAAATTCATGTGCGCATTTACCAGTATTCGGAGGCAGATTTATACAGGCAGCTTGCGTACTTCTGCCATGTATTGGATACAGTATACTGCGTTGAGAAGGTTAGTGACCCCTCTCTCTCCTTCCCTCCCCAACTTTGCTTAGAATATGCTACGACCCTGATCTGACGAAAGCTATGTCTCCTTGTGACATTGTTCAGGTTGACTCTCGCATGAAAGCCCAAGTAGAGAAGGAGCTGATCAGAGTTAGGCCTGTGGTCGATTCGGCAGCATCAACTATTCAAAGGATTCGAGACCGGTGTGCCTATGGTTGGGTGCAAATGAAGGACCTATTTGTATGATCTCCTTTTCGAATTATTAGCATGTACATATCCGAAATCCCAAATCACAAGCGCGACCAACTTGTAAATACAGATGCCCAGGATGTCCTATTGCCTAATTTGCCTTCTCTATGTATTCATTTGTGTGTTTTCTTCCACCAAGCTTGCTTTCATCTTCGTTTAGCTGTTGAATTCAGTATGGCCTTTCCTGGCACCTTCTTTAATCCTTCATTAGGCAGTGGGATTGGATAACATCGTGACGTTCTGTGTTTGAAGTAGTTTGTCGCATTTCTAATACAAAGTGTCAATTCTTGGCAGGCTAATACGTACTCTAGCAGGCTCTGTTTGACAATCTTATGTTGCATTTTGACGTGTCATTCGTGTCTCACGCTTATCTTCCAAGATTGGTCGTCCGTCTGTGTTAGTTGACCAAGGACCATTTTCAAGATATCACTAATGATTGGTTTTCAAGGCCCAATTTATTGTTCTTCAGCTATAGTATGACAATCGTATGTTCTGACTAGTTCATTGAGCAGTCATTGAGCAACTTTTTATTGATTTTTGGCAAAATGATCGCAACTACTATGTGTTACGACGATAAAATCTGCGATCAAGTGGGTGGCAAGAAAGGCACCAGTTAACCGATGCTAGGATATAGATTAATTGATATCTAAAATCAAATCTATTATTCTGCGATAAAAATAAACTGTAGAACAACAAAATGAGATACGTCATGACCTGTTATGATATCTTTCATGAAAAAGATCACGAAGATTTTGCTCAATTTACCACAAAACGAATGCGATTATGATGTTATATAATGTCAAGATGGGCAACCAAAATAGGAATCGGTGATCGATGGTTGATTACGAGTAGGTTATAGAAAACTCAGCTACAAAAGTTTTCACTGACTAACGAAACAATGGCTACAATTACGACATAGGACGACCTAAAATCATGATCACTTTTTTATAATTACCCCAACGTTCATGAACCATGATAAATTTCAAATTAAGTGGGTAGAATCGTGGCTGATTTGACCGATGCTTGGACATGGGTCCACCGCCCTTTGTGGCTATGAATCCATTGTTTCAGAGTCAGACAAAAGGGAAATCGTGGTGCAACAGAATAAGAAATGTGACGACATGTTCATCGAAAAGCTATTACGGAAATTTTCATCGACTTATGAGAAACCGATTGAACGCAATGAGGACATGGCACGACAAAATTAGATGTGTCACTACTTGCTACAACTAGCTTATTAAAAAGCTATTATGAAAATTAACTTACAAAAGAATGGGCCCGACAATCTTGAAAATCACGAGAGTATTTTCAAGTTTCCCCGGCTCTCAAGAAACCCCATTATTTTTCAAATCGAATGGGTAGAAAAACAGGAACCTAGCAGTGAATGCTTGGATATTAGTCAATTGATTTCCCTGACTAAGTCCAATATTCTATGATATAGACGAATTATGGTATGACAAAATGAGATCTGACATGTCATGATTTGTTTATGGAAAAGCCGTCATTAAAATTTTAATTGATATGCAACAAAATGAATGTTCGATACGTTACGATCTCGAATGCCGTAAGAGTACTTTCAAATTCCCCAACTGTAATCGGACTGTGATAATCTCGAATTCAAGTGGGTGATCGAAATAAGAAAAAGTGATCGATGCTTTGATACAAATATAATGAATCGAATTACGAAGCATTTCTTCCTTTCATCTTCGTCGGCTAATTTCCTCACTTAGGCGAAGCCATGTTCATGAAATCTAACTAGTATGGAATGACCCATGAGTATGCAATCAAGCAATAACACTTATCCAATTTATGATATCAAGTAGCTCCATGAGTATCGTCCAGTTTGAGTAACGAGATAATGATGACATAATTTTTGTCATTACTTTCTTTTCTTTGCATGGCCATTATATTAATGACCCTGTTTTTCTCTTAATTTTAATTAAAATTAGATTAAAAAGGTAAAAAAAAATTGCTAATCCCCCTCCCTCCCTCCCTCTATCTAATTTCCCCTTTTTTCTTTTAATTTTTTTACGTTTCACCTTTTATTTGAATTTACTAGTCAATGCCACTCATTTTAAACGAAGATTAAATTGCCGCGTCATGATTTTTTTATCAATCAAATCCAACGAAGCTTAACGAAGGGAGATTTAATGACACCGATTCGATAAGTTTTAAAACCCGACCGTACCGATTAATAATTTCCGACACTCGATCGAAACTTCCACGATAAGTTTTGAGACTTCGATATCAAACGTTAGTGGATACCCGAATAAACAACCGGGCTTTTGCATGTCAGAAAAAAAAAGAAAAAAACCCGAGAAGCAAGGGTTGTCCCCGGTCGCCATTCCCCGATATTTCCTCAAAACACACGAAAGGCAGCTTGGTCAGAGACAACCTCCAGATACTTCCAAGCCGTAACGTAAGATGCAACCGGTCGATCGAATCCGAACTTGGAAAAAGGAAAAAATAAAAATGAAAAAAGAAAAAGAAATTCTGACCAGGCAAAGGAAATACTAAAAAAAAAGAGAAGGAGAGAGGAGAGAGAATTGGGGGATTCGAAGCGTGTAAAAAGTCCGTTAAAAAGAGACGAATTTGGATTTGGATTCCCTCCCCAGATAAATAAAAAAAACGAATTAAACGAAATAAAACGAACTATTTAAATAAAATAAGAGTTAAACAAATTGGCAAAAAAATGGAGATTCTCTACCCCCCGTGGCCCCTGCTTCTGCGTAGCAACACCATGACAATAATATGACCACATCTCCTTCCCCCCTTCCCCTTCCCTCCCATGTAATAAAAGCAACCGAAAGTGACAACACTTTCCCTCTCTCTCGCTCGCTTCATTCCGTCGACTGGCCATGGGGATGAGGGCGGAGGAGGAGGAGGAGGGAGGAGGAGGAGGGGAGGAAGCGGAGATCGATCGCTTGCCCATCGACGTGCTGGCTCAGGTCTTCGTCATGATCCCCTCCTTCGCCGATTTGGCCCAGTACGTGCTCCACCCCGGGGGGAGTTAGTTCCCTTCTTGTTTCTTCCTTACCCGGAAGAAGAAGAAGTCCCCTCCTTCTTCTTCTCTTTCTCCGTGCGGGGTTTCCGTGTGGGGGGTGTTGGTTTGTTGTGGATTCTGAGTCGTGGGTCGTGTGCAAAATCCGATATTTTTCCCCTCCTTTTTGGGCAGGGCGAGCGGGGTGTGCCGGAAATGGAAGCGGGGAGTGAAGCTGTCGCTGGGGCAGAGGGAGAGGCTGAGCTTCGCCGGGTTGAGGATGGACGACGACTCCGCCGCCCGCATCGTTGGCAGCGCCTACGCCCTCCGCGAACTCGACATGTACCCTCCCTCCTTCTCCCTCTCCCTTTCTCTCTGATCGGTGGAGGGTTGTTGGCACTTTGTTATCATTCTTCTTGGATTGGTTACTTTGGAATTTGTTTGATCATTCGCTTACGATGCGTGTGCCTCTCTCTCTCTCTCTCTCTCTATTCGTGCTCTTTTGGGTTTCTGAACTCCTTTTGAAGCCGACTGAATCTGTCGCAGCTCGAGGAGTCGTTGGGGCTGCCATGTAACTGACGAAGGGCTGTACAGAATTTCGTTGGCGAAATGCGCGGGGAAGCTGACGTCCATCTCTCTGTGGGGGATGACCGGGGTCACCGATCATGGTGTTGTTCAGCTGGTATGTTTTATCGTTTTCGAAGTGACGATTTCACTTCTGCAGATGTTATACATGCAGGGCTTTACTCTGGTTCTGTGGTTGGAGTTCATTTCTGGGTGAACGTGCTTTGATGTCGGTTTCTTCATTCAGAGTTCGGATCTTAGTGTTCCTCGGCGATGGTGTTGGTGTTGCTCGTTATCCATTGTTTTGCAATTGCAAGCTGAATGAAATCGCGAGAACTTGAAATTGTCAATGTACTCTGCTCTGTTGTTGATTCTCTTTTTCTTTCGCACGACACTTGTCAATGGGATAACTGAGCCTGAAGTTCTCTCACACTTTGTGTACGGAATGCGATCCAGTCCTAACTTTTTATCATCGAGTCCTTTAGTCACACAAGGCTTGGGAAGAACTTTTTTGCTTTGCCCATCATCTGACTTGTGGTAATTGGTATAGCCTGAGAGACCTACTCTTTAGGTCGGTGTAGTTTCGCAACAATTTGGCACTAAGTAGAACAATCGCAATCCCTACTCCAGATTATTTTGTCTCCACAAATGCTCCTTGTCGTACATGTATAGCATCGATCATCTCATATGTATGTAACTATAGCTTCCTGATTGAGCCACTTCTGCAGATTGCTAGAGCTAATGCTTTGGAACATCTGAATATCGGCGGTACATTCATCACTGATAAATCATTATATGCAATTGCCAATAGCTGTCCACATCTGAAGGTGAGTTGTCCTGGGTGTTTTACTTCTATGTTTGGGAATGACTATGATGGTCTTTCCACTCCTCTATACAGCTGTTTACATTTAGTAGTTAAGAGGTTGGGATCTTGGAGTTCTTGTTGCTTGTATATGTTGATGCTTTTAACTACATTGTGCAAGTTCTTTTCCTTGCAGAGCATTGTCCTATGGAGCTGCCGTCATGTGACCCAGAACGGACTTCTTTTCCTTGTAAACAGATGTCGCAAACTTGAATCAATCAATGTCTGGGGAACAAGAGTTCCGATAGATTGTTTCGTTGAATTGCTAAATATAAATCCAGGTCTTCGGATTAAATAGAACAAATACGACTATTCACGAGTGTTGAGATCGTCTTGCCTGGCCAGTAAAGTTGCCCATAATTCTTCCTGCTGGGTCGTAATTGCTTTTGTACAGATTTTATACACTTGTAAAGAAGATTCATGAGCCCGGTGAACTTGCATTGATCAGCAGAACTAAAATTTGTATGCGGATTTGTTCAGCTCTACAGGAATAAAAGAAATTCTGAGTAAACAACTCAGGTTGAATTCTGCGATGATCTCTGGCCACTGCTATAGCAGTATGTTCGTGGGCATTTTGAGTCGTGAATATTGAAATCGTTGGACAGAACAACATGTTGAGTAATGTTTATCTTTGCTCTTCAATTTGTTGGCAGACATCAGAGTTTCCAGACCTGCTATAAGTTTAGACTGGCTTTAGCACTGGCAGGTCAGGTCTGGGTGACGTGGTTTGGCTAAGAAACGTTCTTGTGGGATGGTCTTTGCCAAAATTGAGTGATTGTATTCGATGTTGACACGTTTCTGTGCATGTTTGAAGCCGTGGGTTTTGCCATGTGAAGTCAAGGTGTACATCACTTGCCCTTTAAGTTTCCATTGCCGATCTCCTGATGCTTACGCTTGTGAGCATTTGGAGGATACTCATCTTCTCAGTGTCTTACCTGCCTATGAAACGTGAAAAGATTAGTTTACCAACCGTGTTACGGTTTTGTAATCTGAACTTTATACGCGTATGAAACGAGACATAAAACAGGTTAATACATCCATGGGACGATGAACTTGCACACACTTGGGTACATGGGAGTATCGAAAACCGCCAGCTCTAGTTGGATCATGTTCAGTCGCCACGTGCACATATAATCTAGCAATTCTCTCGTACTTGCACTTCCTTTTAGTTTGGCAAAATATCATGTTTTTGTGCTTGGTAACGTCGCTGGAGATTAAAAAGAAAACAAAGACTTCTGCGAGCATTTAGTATTGTATTGATATTAAAAAATCTCCTTTTGCTTTTTTAAAATGTTGTTGACACACGTGCTAGACTCTACTTTTGATTTTTGATTTTGAAGGACCGAATTTTTCACAATATGTATTGACACGTAAATTCACATATAAATTTTCTTCGGAACCGTTCGACATGGCATTACCAATTTTTGTTGCAAGTTCATGATCCGATGAAATGCCTTACACCAACAACATTGGCAAGTTGGCGTAACGGGTTTTCCATTAATATGAACTCGATGGAAATCCAATTCAGTAAAAGTTACTTACAGAGTTTTCATATAGTCAGTGATCGTTGCGACTAACGGGTTACACTTCACACCACTTTTTCTAAACATTATAGTTACGATCCTATCGAAGATGATCGAGAACTTTAGCAATCATCGAAGTCAGCAAATTTCAGTACCGGAGAGCTGTCCAGCAAAAGGAAAACCTTCCCACAAGTTCTGATAAAAAAAACCGAGATATATCTCTAATCCATTCCTGCAGTAATTATATGCCTTGACTTCAGATCTATCTAACGGAACTAACAGCCCTTCTACAGATGCAAACTGTAGAGAACAACGCTGCGAGCATCACCTTGAACACAAACTTCGTCATGCAAGCAATGGGCATCGGGAAATTCTACACAAGTTATTAGCACTTACTCTTGACTATTTTGATCAATTACATAACCAACGATGCAAAGATTTAAATGCTTCCGGCGACTCCATAATATGTAAATGACACATACAGCATGCTCCAGCTCTTCTATATCAAGCACATTAGGCAGAACCTCCAAGTTATATATAGTAAAATTATAGGCCATTACAAGAGGTTAGTCTGCCAAGGCTGGTTTATTCCTGTTAAAAATCCAGCTTCCGAGGTCAAACAGAAGGGCCTGTTTTAATCCGATATAATCTAAGCTGAGGACGAGGACCAAGATATTTCCACATAATATGCGAGGCACAACACGGGATACATCTGCAACATTCGAACTGATGCAGTGTAATCTAGGATGTCAGCACTAAGGAAATATGAATCGTGGTCCCTGTCCCGTATCTGACTGTAAGTGAGCAGATGATTCAGTTAAAACTACCGTAACACAATATTCGATAGACCTCACGAACAATTGTTGCGTCTCGTGAATGTATTACATCATGTTTCCCTACTCTTAGCTTGAATGAAAGAGCATTAAATATACCTGCAAAAGCATAAAACATCAAATGCGCCATGAGCCAGAGCAAGGTAAAGAAGCACTGATCACGTGAAAAAAGATTACATGCACACTCACGACATATTCAATCCCGACACAACCAAATTGGCTGCAAAAATGACCACTTGGTCATACGGAAGGCCTACTAGACCTCTTCCTAGCTCCTCAATGGGAATTAGGATTCTGTTAATGAGTGCCCACTACCTTCCCTGCGGTATATGTGTTCAGTACATTGACATCGAAACATTTCATTATTAAGTGTACGTAACAAGTGCCAAGACCCTTGGATTTAATTGATAAAGCAGGGGTAAAGCCGCCATACTCAATTAGAAGGCCTAGAAGCTAGTAAGCCACTATAATAAGTCTATTTAAAACTTGAAAAGCGAACATTTCACAGATTTAGAGCGAAGAAAAACTGCATACCTAAATCTCAGGGGCCCCTGGTCTTCCTCAGCCAGTAACTACTGCAGCTTTTGACACGTGCCGTGTGTTTAGCCTCAAAACCAAACTTGAAAGTATCTTCGCCCATATCCAACCTATATATCTACCATCTTTCCAGATCATCAAACCAATATAACAGGGATGAAGTTTAACAGCACTGTACTGAAAGACTTTGCATACTAAAATGCAGAAGCTCAAGCCCTTCAGGTAAAACAAGACCGACTCTTTAGCCTAATTATCCAGCCACTTGCAGTTGCAACTTTCCGAGCAGAAAAACAAGAAGTGAAACATATAACGTGGAAATGATCAAATAACTTGTGACATGGACAGTTGTTGCAGAATTCGTAAACTGAACAGATCCAGAAAAGCTTCCAGCAGTATTCGTGGTTGGACTTCTAGTAGGTGCACTAATATTTTTGCAAGACCCATAGGGTGCTCCAGCCTGCAAAGATCATCACAAAAATATCTCCTTTCAAAAATACTCCACGATCAGACACCGATGTATCATTAGAATTATCTGCAGGTATTATAATCTGAACCAAAATTTTGATTTTTACTCGCATTATGTTAGGTCATGTATCTTGACATCAGGTATTATGATAAGAGGGAGAGGAGGCAAAGAGGAAAGAGAAGAATGTGAAATAATCTGCATTCCTAGAATAAATTTAGATCCAGCAAGCAATGTCATAGTTGATCCACATGTTCACAAGGGAACAATTCACCAAGGTGCAGAACTTGTGAGAGCTATTACAGAAATTGAGGGAAAGAAATGACTCACTGAAACATTGCCATAATGGTGTGTAATGCAGACATGCATTGAAAACATTAGAAAGACAGTTTCGTGAAATACTAACCAGAATTGCAGAAAACATGGTTGGACAGCAAAACTAGTCATAATTCAAGAAGGAAGACACAGATCATAATAAAACTATACAGGGAGTTCATATTCAATAATTCAGAGAATGACAGAAAGTCTAAAGCACCATTATCATTTGGACAAACAGGAGAAATCCTTTTTAGTTGCGGGTGAATTTGATATAGATAATTCTTTTTTACTCATGAAAGAGCAACAAACCTGGCAAGCAGCAATAGTACTGCAGCCGCAGAGTGTCGGGCCATTCATTCTATCCAAGGCATCAAAAACACCTCCTCCATCACTTCTCTGCATCATTCATTAAATTTTACTCTCAATTAGGACCGTCAAAGTGAGGATCTCAAGCTTCTAGAGCACAGTCTGATTCAAAAACAGCACGGGCACAGTTCAAATATAGGTACCATGTAAAAATTAACTGCGAGGAAGTTGGGCATTGTATTCCCTGCAGCTTTATAACAGGTAGTAACCATCTGAGCAAGGGGTGTCGAATGCTCTTTGCAAGCATCAGATTGCACTGGGTATGTTGGAAAGTAATTCTCTAGGAAAAGAGACACGCTCTTCGAACTTAGTGGTTTCGATTCTTTTCTGTTGGGGCAGGAGCCTTGTACAACCCCAGGATCTCCAGCTGAGAAGAAGAGCATTTTTATGTGATAACAAGACACTAATCAATTACTGCAGGAAAAGATCAAAAAATTACTGCGATGGTTTACAAGAACTTACGCTCATTTTCCACCATATACTTCCACTGATAAGCAACTCCTTCTTCTGCTTCTTTTGCAGCAACAGATGTGAAAACCAAAAGTCGGTAATTATTCTGCACCATCTCGGCCACAGTGGGCCAGTCTCCACCCTTTTTTGGCATCTTCGAGACAGGAAACCAGAACTTGTTTAAACCAGCATTTGTAAACAGATTTGTCAGTCCTTTTGGAGTATGCACATAGTCCTCAATAATAATCGTCACAATCTCTGTTGGGTTTTCGCTCAAGAATGCTTCTACTTCTCTTAAAGTATTAATTGCAGGTTGCTGCCAGAAATCCAATTCGGCAAATTAAAACTTCATCAAGAAGACAATTACACCTATAATGCAATTGATAAACAAGAGAAAAAGAATTGCTTACAAAGGCAGTGAAGTTGAAGCACTGTCCCCGAAACGAATGGCAGAGCCAGATATCATTTTCAAAATCATACATATCCAGCATCAGTCCCCTCACCCCATTCTAGCCGAAACATCAAACAAAGAGCATAAGTAACAGAAGGATAAAGACGAACAGAATGTCATTAAAATATCGTGATTGATCACCATAGATTCGTAGAAGAAACCAAGAAACCACTCAATTTTAACATTCTCAACATTTTGCCCCCAGTGATAAACCCCCCTCCCTCCAAACTTGCTCGGGCGGGGGGAAGGAAAAGAAAATAAGTGTGAAAGAAAAGACAACAGAAAAATAGTAGCGAGAGATACACCTCTGACACTCAATTGTACTTAATACCTGAATATGTACACTAGCAGCTATGCAAAACCAGAGGATAACAAGAGAGTTAATTCCCGGTCCCATATCAGAAGCAGCAGTATCAAGCAATCAACAA